GTAAGTAAGGAAGCTGAGAATGAAAAGAGAAGAATTCAGGGCAACGGTATTGACTGATGAGGTGGTGTTATTAGATCTTACAGATGAGGCAGGTTATCTCATCTCCTATTTAACAAGGGGTACTTAGGCCAAGCCACTTACAGACAGGATACTGATAAATCTGAAACCTGAGTTCACTGTGTCCTCCAGCCTTCATCGTCCCCCACTCCAACTATTTTTTTTTTTTTAAAGCTGGCATAGGGCTGATACAGACTTACTCATAACCAGTCAATTTAATTCTACCCCCCTCCTCCATTCCTAACACACACACACACACACACACACACACATGCACGCACGCATACCCAGGCTGCAATAAAAACCACAGTCCAATCCACTTTACAGGGAATGCTTTCTATTTACAGATCTATAGTTTGCTACAAGAGGAATTCACATCCAGAAGAATGACCCAGAAACAAAAGGCAATCTTCAATCATGAAAAAATTAAGCTGTGTGCGCTCTAGTTATATGGAACATAGAATCCAAACAAAGACTTTCTGTACCACTCCTGGGTTCAAGGGGCAGTCTAGGAGATGTCGTAATATTGAAATATCTGGCAGAATTCCATGATTTACGTGGGAACTGTGGCAGTCTATTTGCAAGTGGGTTATCCTAGAAAATCAGAAATATATGATTGCGATAACTACACTGTAATTTGAAAGGCGAGATTCTACATTAAGATCCCTGGAAAGGTCTTCAGCCAAGATTTTTCTGATTAACCTTCATCAAAAACTCCCATTTCTGAAATAATCTATTTAATTGATAGTTAACTGAATTTATATTAGAACATTTGAAGAATAAAAACGTCATTTACGCATAAATTTATTAGCACTCTATAGGAGATTTTTTTAAAAGATGGTTTAAAATGAACACTGCATTTATTGTTTAATGAAGTCCTGGGCAACTTGAGAAGAGTTTTACATTTTGCATCTTGGCTTTACACCTCCACCTTGCTTTAGAAAGTAACTTTCTAATTTTAAAAGAAATCCATGCATGTTTAAAACAGTGATTTTAAAAATGATACATTTCTGGGGCAGAATTTATAAACTTTGTCATTGAGCATGCATTTATCTCCCCTCTGGGATACAGTTTAATGGCATTTATGGAATTTGTAAAGGAGAAAACAGTAAGGTTTTTCTTTTTCAACCATCTCAGGGCTTGGCATAGGTTGAAAGCAAATTATAAATGTCTGAACTTTCTTTCATTCTTACGTTTTAAAGAAAATTCCATGGCAAACTGGTTGTATATGGTCAGAGCCAAGCTTCCAGAAATGAGAAACTTCCGGTTTGGGGTCAGTTAGCCTCTCAGAAATGGCCATTCTGGTCATTTATCTATTAAGAAAAACAGGCCTGATGCAACGCAAGAGTTTTACATTTAGGCCAGCGAATCGCATTCTAACTAGAGCTTCGAAATCACTCTTCCATAGCTTAAATTTAAGCACATAGACACCCGCCTCTTCTACTGTTCTGTTTTGGGTTTTGGAACCCAACAATTCCCGGTGATAAAATTTAAACTCAAGCATTTTTTGCCCTCCTAAGTTGCGTATCAATACTCCGCTGCCAAACGTACCAACGAATCTGGATACTGACAATATTTTCATGTATTTTTCCTTTTCTTCAGGGAAGGGAAATCTCATGAATCTTCCTCTTGTGTTCAAATAACCCTGGCCTGCCCTCTCTTCGAGGAGATTTAAGCAAAAGTCCCTTTTCTTCTCCTCTTTCTGATGGTATTAGTTACCATCGTCATGTGGCTGAGAAGCAGAAAATTATGTCCTACTTTAGAAAAACAATTGGGCCTTTTCACCGAAATATTTATTCAAAACCCCATTCAATTCATACGGTGGCTGTCAGTCTTTATTTAGGCTCTCTTTCAGAGGGTATCTTTGATTTTGCCACTTTGACCCCAATTTATATCTCACTAGGAGAGGATTTAGATACTGTTTAATACTTAAAATTCGGGTCCCAGGGCTTTGAGAAGGGGGACTTTCCTTGTTCCTTAATCACACACTGCTACTGTTTGTTTTAAAAGTAATTTCTTCTCATTAATGAGCAAAATCCTATTTCAAAAAGAAAACATTCTTTTCTTTCCCCTTTTGATGTATTGAAGAGGGAGAAGATAGGGAAAGGAGCCAAGAAGTTGTCACACTTGTGCTTCTACCAAAAGCAACTATATTTAGATCACAAAAATATTAAGATTTATCCTATGCCCGTAGAGCAATTAATGCTGAAAACATCTGGAACATCCTAAAACCAAGATAATCCAGGAGGCATGTGAATAGAAATTTAGTGACTTCCTTCCAGAAGCAGTCTGCAATCATATTATTTATGCCACATTCCCTAGGTAGCCCCCTAATCCTGACTTCGAATGTTTATAACGAGCAATTCACAGGCCTTACTGCAGGCAGCAGCTGGTTGGCATATCATTTTTCTGTTTTGAAAATTAAAAAGAAAATAAGAGGAATATTCGAATGCCTTTCCAAAGGAAGCTTCGCGTGTATTCTTGTTCAAAGGTTTGAGTCTATTTACTTACTCCACACACTCATCTCATAAAAAATACATTGGAGCGCAAAGCAGAACCTAGTTTTAATTGGAATATAGTACTAGTTTGGTTTTTTTTTTTCTCTCGGCCCCCTGTTTTCTCTGGGTTAAGAGCACAAACAGATCTGCTTCTCATCAAAATAGTCATTAAGGAAAATGGAAAAGGTGTGTGTGTGTGTGTGTGTGTGTGTTATAAAACGTGGCCCTAACACACATTCATTTCAAAAGCCCTAGCAAGCTATACCATCCAAAGCCAAGCACTGCATGCAACAGACGTTTGTTAGAATCTCACAAAGAAAAAAGTTTTTGTTTTATTTATGATTTAGAAACTTAACAACAAAACTGACCGTCATAAACTGGTTTATGGAGGCTAAAGTGACTCTGTAGGAGCAAAAGCAATATTTACATTTTATTCACTTCACCTAAAGTTGGGGTGTGGGATTCAAACCCTCTTGAAATGGACCACAATAAGCACTAATTGCCCTGCTTACAAAAATAAGACACTGGAATTTCTGAAATCCCTTTGTCAAAAGCCTTTATTTACTTTGTCTAATGCAAGTTTCTTTGATTAGCTAAACTTTGCGCTTATCAACACTTCTTGCTTATCGCTGGCCCTAGGCGAATGACACATTCACCACTCGCTCTCCCCAGATAAAGCAAATCCCTTGTTTAACTTGTTCAAGAACAAACAAAGCTTTTCCCGAACTCTTACAGCTTAATAGGCATGTTTGGAGGGTTAATTACAAGAGGGAGAATGTCTACAAGGAACAACTCTATCAGGTCTAATAACGTTCTGTGAGGATCCTAGACATTTTCCTTCCCTTCTGTTAAAAAATATGTTTCCTGACAACTTTCTCTAAAAGTGAGAAAGTTTCAGAGAGCCCCAATTCCTTGGGATTCCAACAGAAATTGTCCTGCCGTTTTAATTGCTACAGAGAGGACGGACGGGTCTAAAAGATCTGTGAATGAATTGGAAACTATTTAGTTAACACTCTGTTTCTATGAGCTCCCCAGAAAGAAAACTGGCAGCAAGAAAGGAAAGGTATTTGGGGAGCCCCTGAAGATGAGGACACCTTCTGAAAATGATATTATTCCTTTTGCCTTGCTTAGGGCTCTACGAAATGTTCAGCCAGACAGCCAGAGTGTTGGCATCAAATGGTTATTGATTTTTCAGTTACGAACCTGTTGATTTCCTGACCCAAGAAGCAAGTCTTTATTCTTACGAAAAAGTTTCAGAGAGGGCAATTTCAACCCTGTCATTGTCTCCCTCTGCTTTTTCTTCTCTCTCTTTAGATAAGCCAACTATGTTATTAGGAAAACTCAATTTCTTCCAGTTAAACTTTGACCTCTTTGAAAACAAAGATTTAAAATGTCATTTTCAGGCTAATGCTCCAATGAATTGTCAAATAAAGTACTAAAAACATTTTGATAGATAGCTGAGCCATTTATCTAAATCACTGTCAGGGCAGGGATGCATCCTTGCAGGCTCCTGCTGCAGCCGCAGGAAGGTGGGATTTCTGCAACTCGGGTCATTTCTCAAGCCTGCAGCCAGGTTACTACTGTTGACCAGATGCGTGCCTCGGCACCAAGTCAGCATCAGATAACCAAACAGTCAATATTGTTCAAAAAACAAAACAAAACACCAAACTCCACTTATATGTCCTCCCCTTTAACCAATGTCCAGACTCCCAGCTGAATTGCAAGATAGGAAAATAATGGATGGCTCAGCCCAAGGTGTGCTCATTGCCAGTAGTTTTCTAGCAAAACAGCAACTTCTTAGACCAACAAAGTGACTCGAAAAGGTGGCAGCAGGGGTCAATGCTAAGAAATATTGCCTCCCCTTAGCAAGGAAAACATTGGAGGCGGTAGCCTGAACTGGTACTTTAGGAACTTCGGGAGCAGCAGCCACCTTCATTAGGCTAAAGACTTTGCAAGGAAGATGTCACATTTGAATTACTTCGTCCCGATGAAATACACAGAGGGGACAGGGGGGTGGATGCAGCCAGTTGCTAACCCAAAGAACAGCAAAGTGACGTTCCCCTCTGCATCTATTTTCCTAAAAATTGCACAACGGGCCATCCTGTCCTGCTTGAAGAATGTTCCAAAGTCCTGTGGTCACCCTCTCCTTTTCCCCTCCCTCCATGCATATTTTACACACTGTTCTCAAGAGCCTGCAAGGTGGGTTAAAGGAGAGCGTGGGTGCGGGAGGGGTTATTTGGGAAGAAAATAACTAACAGGAAATTTTCAGCGGAGGGAATCAATATGCACGCCAGCCTCTCACACACCCTTTCAGCATTAAATCCTTAAATCCTTTGTCTCGCAACCAATGCAGTTTATTTCCAATGTCTTTATGGCATGCAAAAAAAAAAAAGAAAGAAACAATTTTCTTTTACTTGGTAGAAGAAGGGAGAAAAAGAAACCTACATTGAGCAGTGTGCCGATGCTGCCATTCGGTTTGAGTCAATCCACTGAAGCATGCTTTGAGAGCTTTCTCCTGGAGCATGCAGGAAGACGGACTCGCAGTGTAGAAATCCAGGATTTGCCCAGGACTCACTGACAGAACATCCATACAGTCAAACATGATCTCCCCTGCACCGAATGTCTGCAAAAGTGCTTATCCTCTAGGTGAGGAGGCAAATGGCATAGAAAAGTCCACCCAACTCCATCAAACTCTGCCCCTTTTTTGGCACGTAGGCTGTTGGGCTTTTTCCCAGCCCCGAATCATGAATTATGACAGACAAGCCAGCTAAAAGCCTGTAATTGATCCAAATGATCATTTACCATTTTCCAGGCTTGCTCGGCCAATCCAGCCGGGGCGGGGGGTTCCCAGAAAGATCCCAAGTTCTCCTTCCAAGCAAATGCCTGCAAAAAGCCTTCCGAATGCGATCCGGAGCCTACCCCGACGGTGCCCAGACAAGCCCTGCGCGGCTCGCTCGCGTCCTCGGCATCCCAGTCCTCAAACAGCGCGCATGGGGGAATTCTGGTCCCCCCTTTGGCAAAGAATAGACCCTCCTGCCTCTGAACAGCTCACTTCCTACTACTTCTGTCACACAGAATGAAAGATTGAATTGCCTAATATATGCGAGTGAACTTTCGGTGAACCCTTCCCGGGCTGCTAACCTTCAAATGACCCAACCAGTCTGACATCACCAACTCCCAGGATTCTCACAGAGCTTAAAAACTCCCAGCAGCCCTGCAAAAGCAGACAGCCGGAGAGGCAGGCAGCGAGCGCGCACGCCGGCGCTTTCTCCCCCATTTCTCACCTTAAAAACAATGCAAGAAGTGCTTTTTAAAATGAGCAGGGGAGGAGCCAGCACGCTGCTCCTGGCTCTCGCTGAGCGCCAACTTCTCCGTCTTAATGCCTTTAGGATTCGCGGGTGTAGATTGGAGACCGGTGTGGCCCCCTTGGCCCCGCTCGCCTCCCGCCCACCGCCTCGCCCCCAGCCCACCCTTTACATTCCTCTGTGCGTCTCTCTGTCTGTGACATTCCTGGTAACGTATGTATTTTTCCACTCTCAAGGAACCACATGCAACCCCTAACGTGCAGAGCAGAAAACACCTACCCCTTGGGGAAGACTGGGATGGAGAAACTTTCCATTCCGTCGTCTTTTGCTCTTACTCCCTCTTGCAAGCTCTGGCCAGAGGAATTGCCTTGGCTCTGCAATCCAGTTCTGTGGATTCATGTCCTTTTAAAAATCCTCTCCAGGGTATAGGCAGTATATGGAGTAGTCAAGAAATAGTTAACTTCTGCCTACCACCACCCCCCCACACACACACACACACACAAGATTTTAGATCATAATCCCAGAGAACAGTGCTCAGAGTGTACCGTGCATGGATTTGGGAGTCAAACTTAACTTGATTCCAATTCCGGCGCCACCACTTACCAACTGCAACATCTGGGACAACGATCTAACCTCTCTGGGACTCAGTTTCCTCATCTGTAAAATGGGCACAGAATACTAACCACCCCAGTGAGTTGCTGGGAGTACAAAAAAAAAAATCACATTTGTAAGGAACTCAAGTGAAAGTGTTGGAACAAATGTTAGCTGTGACTCATTCTGGTTATCTTTCAACTGGGGAAACAGGAGCCTAAGGAACCTAGACCGGCCCCAAGACCCATAGCTCAGGAGTGTGATGAGAACCAGATCCCTAGACCTCCAGTCCAGTGTGACAATTACATGGCTGTCCCCACAGCCTCACACCCGGAATAGCATCTTGGTAACCCCAGGCATCATGCCCATGTACTCCCCACCACATAATTAAACACATAGTTTGAAAACTGGCTAAGTAGAATGATTTTATATTTTCAAGGGCCAGTTGTTTGTCCATGCCAGCCCCTACCCAATTTTGGACATTTTAAAAAGTAGAGTAATTTGGGGGCCAGCAGGTGGCATAGTGGTTGAAGCATTGGATTCCCACATGGCCCACTGTGGTTTGAGTCCCACACCTGGTGACATATTTTCTCATTTTCCCTCTCTCTCTCTTTCTCTCTCTCTCTGTCTGTCTCTAGTGAGGACATGTGCCCTGAAGCAACTTAAAAAATAATAATAATAAATAAAATAATATTTTTTTTAAAAAGTAATCTTAAGAGAAAATTATTTTAAAAAATACTTCCTTTGTGGATCCAACCTAGAGGAAGGACCTGCTTTCTAGCTAGTCTTACAACACCGGGAAGAGCAGATGCACTTTTTACAAATAAACTCAGGCAGACAGCGTTAAAAGGGGGATCCAATCCACCCTGCAGTCTTTGCACGGCTTGCTTAGAGGATGCAACTTACATCTAAAAAAGGAAACTCTGGGGAGGAATTAAACCACTCTCTCTCTCCTCCACAGCCTCTCTGGTATGACTTATAATTCACAAAACAAGGACAGAGTGGGAGACAGTGTAGGGGGAAGGAGGGGGAACCTTCTTGCCCCTTGCAGGGAAGAATGGAGCTCCAGCCTCATTTTGGTGGGTTCTGCTGGAATGTGCATTGGCATCCAGACCTTTTAAAAAGCCTGTGGGGGGGGGGACCCCACCCCATGCTGAAACTCTGTCTAGCGAGTTGCTAAGTGGCACTGTGGTAGAACATGGAAAGTATGCATCGCACACACTTACCAAATCAAAGCTCCTTTCATGGAGGTACATTACAACAATTTCAGCCCAGCAAGCTCAGCTCTTGCTATTCCAAAGTTCAGGATGATAAAGGGATGAGATTTTGCTGAAACTGTGTGTTTGTTATTTCTCTCTCTCTCTCTCTTTTCTAATATATGGCTGTCATTTCGTAATAGAGCCTTATTATAAGAAACTCTGTCATGACAAAGAAAACACACATTTTAAGCAAGGGAGCACAGAGGAATTTACAGAACATTTAACACACTGTCATTAAGATAGTTGTAAAGATACACAAAGCACCATATTTGGTGTTCATTTCTACTGTGTCTATGAGACTTATAACTCCAAAAGCTTATTTAAGGTCCTCAGAGATCCTTGGAAACTAGACTCACTTATACCCAGGTAATGGAAGTGAGTAAAAAGTTACAGGGGAGGGAGCGGCTATCTTTATAGTGTAGCAAAAGGAACGTAAGCCAGAGATGAAAAACAAGGCACCACTTACAGGTGTGTGTATACCTGTACCTGCCCTCCAGCAGAGGTTGGCCCACTTCCTTGCTAAATATCTTTCGGAAGGGTAGATGCGGTGGTCCCAGGGAGCTGAAGATGGGGATGAGTGTCCTCCACGCTCTGTTCTCTCTCATTCTTTTTTTTATTTTATTTTTATTTGTTGGTGAGGTTTTCACTATAGGGCGTGTGTGCTCACCAGGCAGAGAGACAGAGAGACAGAAAGCGAGAAATCACCCCCCGGGGGATGGCCATGCCGCAATCCCTTCTCCTCCATTCTCCTTTCAGGATCTTGAGCACGCACACACACACGCCTGGCGTGAGTTTAAGCCACCAGGTCTGGGACGTGAACCATGGTCGACTACATGGGAGTCCAGCGACATAGCCATTACACTAACTGCTGGTCCCTCATTCTTTGAGCTAGAGAACCAGCTTCATCTAAAAAGGGGGAAGACTACTCCCAAATTTCTTCACCCTATACTGTATTATTGCACAAAAAATAACAACAAAATGTTTGTGTGTCTGTGCATAATGGGAGTTGGAAACTTGGGGTTTTCTTTCTTTGTACAAGAAGAAAGAAAATGTATAATCACCTTCAGGTTCTTTCAGCCATCAAACAAGGAACTTGGACCTTGTAATAAATGAGCACTATTTAAATCCTTGTAAATAGACTATTTTGAGTTTCTTATAGAATAGTTGTAGTCACTAATCAATTTATCCTTTCTCATCATGAATTAATTATGTGGATGGCAATGATTAGAGCTATTACTTACTCTAAGGATTAATTTATAAAGTAGGCCCACAATTTAGCCACAGTTATTATAATGTCTTCATAAGTGTATCTAATGCTTACACTTCTTGTAAACTTTATGCTTCCTCTGGATTTTTCATCTTAAGAAAGATTAAGGAAAAACACCCAAATAAACCACAATTCTTTAACTACATAGCTATGTCCTATAAAGATGAATAGGATAGAAAATGAAAATTGACTACTTAAATGTGTCGATAACGAAGTTTAGATTATTGACACTCGTTTTAAGCATTCATCAAATAGTCGGAAGAAACGTTTTCAAATACTTCTTGGTACAACCTAAAAGAGTATTCTGATTTGTGTCATCTCCTATATTTTCTTTGTGTTTGATCCACGTCCTAGTAAAAGTATTTCCAACCAACAAGGAAACAACACACACACACAAAAGCAAAAAGCAAAAGTTTGGAAGCAATACCCATTTTGTTTCAGAGTAACTGTGTATTTGTCAGTGAGACACAGCACATTTGAAACCCATAATCATAAAACAAAAATTTATAGCCCAGGTTCAGGGTCTACATCTGTTTCTCTGGTTTTTGTACAGCAATTACCCACTGGACAATCCAGAAAGAAACGTCATGAATCATTGGTTTGTAAACATGTTTGAACTGGAGAGTTTTCTGAAGAAAGAGCAGGCGTCTCTGTGTACCAGTGTTACAGGCAGCTGTGCTCAAAATTGGACAAATCCCTTCTGATGTTTAAACACAAAAATTCTCACAGGCACTGACATATCCATTCCCAGGCACGAGACATGCAAGGTGCAGGCAGACATAAGGGTGGGGTGGGTGAAGGAAAAGGGACACTAATCATTTAAAAAGACACCCTCCTCTCTTTTCTTTTCTTTTTAAATTTCTATTTGGCATTTCCCCCTGTTCATCCCTCTTGTCATAGTTCTGAAAGAAGAATAAATTACTAGTAAGTACTACGGGATGTGTATGTTTCGTCACTGAAGCTCAGGGAGGGATGTGAGTGCAAAGACTGTCCCCAGGGCGTCCATCCTCCCAGGCAGAGGTACTTTGGTGCTGGAAGCTGGTTATGTACAGTCCTTCTTTATCTGTGGTTACATTTGCCACAGGTTCAGATACTCGGGTTTAACCAAGTTCCAAAAAATATCAATAGAAAGGTAAAGAAACAATTTATGAATTTTCAGTGATGTGCCGTTCTGAGTAGTGTAAAAATCTTGTGATATTCTGCTCCTTCCTACCCAGCACCTCTGTCCTGATCATCCCTTTGTTGAGTTTATCTACCCTGTATACACAGCCTGCCCTGAGTAGCCATCTTGGTTATTAGACTGTCACAGTTCCTCAGTGCTTGTGTCCAATTAACCCTTATTTACTTAATAACAGCCATGAGAGTGGTGAGGTTGGCATATTGTTATATTTTTACATTTTTGGGGGGGGGAGTTTTTGGTATAGGGCGCGTGCGCTTGCCAGACAGACAGAGAGAGACGGAGAGA